TGTATATATATATATATATATATATATATATATATATATATACACACACACACACACACACACACAAATTACTAAAGCTTACATTTAACTAAATAAAAACGGAAAATATAAAATGCTAATTCAATATATAAATAGTAATATGTAAATAATACAAAAATAACTGATTATTTGTAACAAAATATTGTATTTTGGAAGAAAAAAACATAAAAAGCTAGTAAAAATGACAAAAGCACATAAAATTACTACAACTTAAATTAAAATGCAAACTATATAAATATAAAAAGCTAATTCAGAGTATTAATAAATACTATAATAGTATATAAATACTAAAATAACACTGCTGACAGATTAATTTGTAGCAAAATACTAAGATTAAAAAAAAAACAAAATTACTAAAACTTAAAATGATAACTGAAATTATAAAAAGATAATTGAAAATATTAACAAACATGGTAGTAAGTAATACTAAAAGAACACTGCTGACAGAGTTTGATTGACTGCAGCCTCTTTAACGTCAACAAAATAAGATAAGCCTATTTATTTTGTAATATAAACTGGTAGCTTGTTCATCATTACTAAGCAAGTTTATATGGTTAGTTGCAATTATTTTTCTTTGTGACACACCAGTTGAGAACCGCTCTGCTAGGCCATGGAATTGTTTGTTTTGAAGCTCATCCTGCTGCTCATTTCCATGCTGTACTGGAGGGGCTCTTCATTTAGACCAAAATACAGAAGCATCAATTTCACAAGCAGCTCTGACAGCTATTAAACTGGACATACTACTTTTTGTGGTGCAAACAGATGCAGCACAATCCTGGGAGCGGGATATGCACTTATTTCTGTTAGTGGAGCTCCAGTCTTTATGAAGTGCCCCTTTACAAACTTTTTCTCCTCTTAAATCTAATATCATAAGGTTTCTATGCAAAAATAATAGCAGCGCTTCTGTAATGTGACACAACCAGTTAAAACTGTGCTGTAAGGTTTGTTAGACATCATCAAACCTTAAGCTGCTGTAGTTGTTTGTGTTCACATTATAATAGCCTTATGAGAGCTTGAGGAGAGAGTAACCGCTGTTATCTGTATAGGTGAGCTTTCCTCACTTTCTGAAGCCTTTCAGATGCTAAAGATGTGCAATATGCTTATGGTTCACCTGTGTGTTTTGTGAAGCTCTGATTCCAGTGACAGTCGTCTCCCTATAATACGGCGAGAGGAAGCATCTACAGATGAGGCGTACGATGAAACATTTCTAGATGAGAGAGATCAGACCATGCTCTCAGTGGACATGTAATACTGCATTCATCTATTTTACTTCATATCAGAACATTTAATACAACAATAAGCCACAGGAATGTGGGAGATACAGTTTAATGCTTAGCTAATTCTCTTTCTATAAATCGGTAAAAATGGTTTAGTAGAAGTTGCCAAATCTGACCCCCTCATATTAATAGTGCCTTTCAAACAGCTGTACTGTAGTGCTGTGGTCATAATGGTCCTAAAAACAGAAATCATTTGATATGAATTCATTATGTATAAATTCAGTCAATTTCAATAAAAAAAAGGGGTCAGAAAGATTTTTTGAAATACTTTTATTCAGAAAGGATGCATTAAATTAATCAAAAGTGACAATAAACATTATAGTATACATTTATAATGTTACAAAATATTTTTATTTCAAATAAATTAAAAATAATAAAAAAAATTTACTTTCTCTCTATCAAAAAATATTTATAAATATTTAGCCGTGCAATGTTTTCAACATTGATCATGTGACACTGAAGACTGGAGTAATGGCTGCTGAAAATTCTGCTTTGCATTACAGAAATAAATTACATTTGACAATATATTCAAATAGAAAAGTGCTAATTTAAATGGTAATAATATTTGACCATATTCCTGTTTACTGTATTTTTTGATCAAATAAATGCAGCCTTGATGAGCATAAGAGACTTCTTTCAAAAATGAAAATCTTTTCAACATTTGCAAAATATAATTTCTTATTCTTTTTGGGGGATATATTTTGACTCCGACTTGACAGTATTGTGAGATTCAGGCTCCTAGAAAGAGTAATATTTCAATATTTTGAATGTATGTGTGCGGGGTGCAGGCTGGAATTTCAGGATGAAGAGAGCAAGCAATTGGCTCCAATGGTGGAGGCAGAGGTAGGGGAAGAGAGGAGGCTGTGGCAGTCTCCACGAAGACGGGCATTTCTCTGCCCCACTGCACTGGGTACATACTCGCACACATTCACAGTACAAGTCAGTACAGTCATTAGTTTTGCTTCAAATGTGACGCTGAAGTCAAGTGCATATTTACTTTTCAATACAGGTCGACGGTCTTCCTTTCACTTAGAGTGTTTGAGAAAACATAACAGACCTGATGTTTCTCAGAAAACAGCACTACCACTGCACCTAGTGCATCATCAGGTGAGCTTATGCGCGCACCCACACCCACACATGCTTGACAAAGTTTTTTTTTTGTCTTTTCGCTTATTCATCTTGTGTTTTTCAAAGGCTTTGGCTGTGGCAGGTTTGAGTCCCTTGCTGAGACGGAGTCATTCTCCGACGCTGTTCACGCGTCTGTGCTCCACACCTCCTGCGAGTCCCAGCGGCCGCGGCGGGGGAGGGCCGTGCTACCAGCACGTTCCGTCTCTGCGGCTGGAGGGCGGCGGATCTTATGAGAAACTCAACAGCAGCATGCCGTCTGTGAACTGCAGCTCGTGGTACAGTGACAGTAACGGCAACCACAGCAGGAGTGTGCAGAGGATGCAGCGACCCGTGTCCCTCACGGTTCCTCCGGTCACACGCAGAGACTCCAAATCCCTGTCTCACGGGAGCGCCGGCAGCCTCGTGGAGGCCGTAAGCTGCATTTTCTTAAAGCAAGACACTACAGGCAAAACCATTGCACTGATCATTTTTGAGATTTAGGGCTATTTAGATTGCAAAACTTCCGAAAACATCCAAAAATACATATTTAAAGGGATAGGTCACCCAAAAATGAAAATTCTGTCATTAATTACTCACCCTCATGTCGTTCCAAACCCGTAAGACCTTCGTTCATCTTCTGAACACAGATTAAGATATTTTTGATGAAATCTGAGAGCTTTCTGACCCTCCATAGACATGATGCAACTACCACGTTCAAGGCCCAGAAAGTTAGTAAGGATATGGTTAATAGTCCATGTTACATCAGAGGTTCAACTGTAATGTTATGAAGCTACAATAATACTTTTTGTGTGCAAAGAAAACAAAAATAACGTATTCCATGTCAGTCTCCACTGCCATTCACAAGAGTACCACGACACATGCGTGTGGTGCTGCTTATGCAGGACCCGGTGTTCTGACGTAGAACCCAGATGCGCTGCGCCTAGTGATGGCTGACGCGAAACTGACATTTCGACACAGTGCCGAGATCCCGAAGCGCAGATGTTTCGAAACACTGCTCCGAAGTGTGATTCGAAACACCCATGTCACGTGACTAAGGTGAATCAAAGCATCGGGGCGTTTCACAAGTTTTTCGAGACCCGAATCTGCGTTTGATCGACAGGGTCGAGAACAAACCACACAATCGCACATCTGTCTCAACCTAACTCCCACAAAGTATAAAAGTGGAGTTAATGCAGCAGAACAATTAATATTTTTAAATAAAAATCTTTATATGTAAAAAATGGCAGACGTTGTGGCTTGATGTCTTTTATTAATGTTAATTTTTTCATGACCAAAGTAACATTTATTCACAGAGTTCATTCAGTTGTCAGAGATATGTTACAACACATTACAAGAACAGAACAATAAAAACACAACTTTTAAATATTTATTATAATTATATACAGTACATGCTTCACCCTGGATTTGAACCTAAGGTGACAGGCTCTGACAACATACCAGTCGAGCACACTAAGCACTCCCCCAACTCACTTGGTGGAATGACGAGCACAACATATACGTTATAATTTGTCATTTCGCTTAACTGATTCGTTGTTAATGCTGTTTCAGAGCAATACTTGAAAATGAGAGACGGGTGTCGAATTGTTTCGAAGCCTCAGCACATTTGTTTCGACTGTTTCAGTGTTTCACAAAGCCTTGCTCTGCCCACCACTATCTGCGCCTTGTCGTGGTACTGTCGTGAACACGAGCCAAAGTCTGACGCGGAACAGAAGAAATTGTTGAATAAAGTCATTATTTTTGTTTTCTTTGCGCACAAAAAGTATTCTCGTAGCTTCATAATATTAAGGTAGAACCACTGATGCCACATGGACTATTTTAATGATGTTCTTACTACCTTTCTGGGCCTTGAAATCCTCAGTTGTGTTGCTGTCTATGCAGGGTCAGAAAGCTCTCGGATTAATTAAAAATGTTAATTTGTGTTCTGAAGATGAACGAAGGTCTTACGGGTTTGGAACGACATGAGGGTGAGTAATTAATGACAGAATCCCCCAAAAAAGTGTTTATTTACATATTTATGTGTTTAGTTACATTTTTTATATACCATATTTACCTACACTACACAAAAAACAAGAGTTCTTTATTGGCATTGATGGTTTTAGGGAGAATCTTTAGCATACACGGAACCTTTCCATCGCACAAAAGCTTCTATAGACAAAAAAAACATTTTTTATCAAAATGTTCCTTACACTTAAGTAAAGAATAGTTCTTTTAAGAACTTTTCACTGCAGAAATGGTTCTTCTATGGGATCACTGCAAAAACAACCTCAAGGAACCTTTAGTTTTAAGAGTATAAAGCATTGAAAAGTTCTCGTTCTTTCTTTGCCCAGGTGTTGATATCCGAGGGTTTGGGTCGCTATGCACAGGATCCTTCCTTCATCCAGGTAGCGAAGCAGGAACTAGCGGACGCCTGCGACATGACCATGGAGGAGATGGAGAACGCTGCCGACAACATTCTCAATGCCAACGCGCCGCCCAACGCCAACGGAAACCTGCTACCCTTCATACAGTGCAGAGACACTGACTCGCAGGAGTCCCGTTGCAGCCACGCGCTGGGCCTGTCGACCGCCACGGGCTCCGACGAGCTGCTGGGGGCGGAGCTAGAGCGCTCCGAGGGGGCGGGGCAGCAGAACAGCACTCTGATGGAGGATGAGGACATGGAGTGCATGACCAGTTTGTAGGGGGAACAGCAGCAGCAACGGAGGACTTCCTGTGTCTTAGCCCAGCTCTCTCTGAGGACACTGCTGTCCTGCAGTCTGACCCGTCTGTTGCGTGTACCTACCGTAGGGGTATAAGGCCATTCTGCTTAGCTGAGACCAAGTTGGTTTTTAGTTTGTCCGTGTTTGCGAGAGCACGAGCGAGTAGGCGTGTACATGTTTGTGTGTGTTTCTAAAGTGCCTCACAGTTCTCACAACCTTGATTGCAGTAAGGAAACTAAACCCTGACCGAGCAGGGAATGAAGGGAAAAGATGCGCTGTTGTTGCTCAAGCAGTGGGAGTTTGTGCTGACCTGTGTGTGGCGGTAGGACTCGACAGCCGCAGCATCGGCGTGGACGCTCGGTGCCGAGCAGGTGGATCTTGAGGGCCGTGTTGGGAATTTGCCGCCCGGGGGCCGTCACGGGTTCGAGAGATGTTCAGAGGGACACATTGGAGCGGCTCTGTCTTTCCTTTCCATCCATCCATCTGTTCTTCAGAAGTGTCGTCTGCAAGCGCCCTCACGTCATACTTCTCCTTTACGGCTTTCTTTTGTGTTCAGTTGATGATTTTTGCTGTTTTTTTTGGATTTGATTTCTCTAGTTAAGCCTGCACATAGCTTTTCCTTTTATCAGCGGAAGACTGAACTCTCTGAATTGCTCTTTCTTGTGTACCGTTACGGCTTTCAGGTAACTGCTCGCTGTGCAAGGTACGGGTCATTGCATCAGTGGCCTTTTATTCCAGATCTGCTTCAGGTTTTATTTCCTTTTTTTATTTTCCAGCATTTAGTGTTTATGTTGTTTGCACACAGATGGATGCTGTTTTTTCTTAAATTATTATTATTATTATTATTGAAGGCATTTAAGATGTTTATGCCAGATGCAGTGTTGTGAATCTAATGCCTCTTACAGACACACAAAAACAATTATTTATTTATTTATTCCTGTCAGAGGTGAAGCGTGTTCTGCCGGGGGTTCGGTCTCTCTCACAATGTTTATTGGTAGCTCACAAGCTGTAAATGAGCAGTGTCACTCACCTGGGCGCAGGTAGCACTGACAGCTCTAATTGGCTGCTGTTGGATCAGACTCACGTTTGCTCTGAAACTACTGACGTTTCTTCACTGCTGATCTCCAGAAACATTCAGCCGACAGCTGCGATTCTGTCACGATCCCACCTGCTCGACACAGGGAACAGCAGATCTTCGGAAGGTCAGTAAAGGTGCACTTTGAGGAGAGGAAGGGTGGAGTATTCAGGGATGTCTGGGTAGCGCATCATTAAAAAAAAAACTCTAATGTAGTTCACACAGGGCTAAATATATGACCATCATTATGAAAGTACCAACATCATCATCATACAATGTTATTGATCTATTATTATTATTATTACTATTAAGGATATTTTTCTGCTGCGTTTAACACTTGTTTCCATGCAGTTCGGCAGACACACAGAGAACTACTTATCGATCTATTATGCAAATAAGGTGTTGAAGCGTTAGCATTGTGTTGGTAATGTGTAGACGGGATGGAGTGCGACCCCTAAACATGAGAAACCTGACCAATCCACTTCCAGGCGTCTCTCTGTTTGTGCCACACTAGACCGGGTTAGAAGTTCTGTCACCGTTTTGTACACTACTTCAGACAGATACGAATTTCTCTTTCCATGTATGAATAGATAATTGACTATTTTTGTCTAGCTGACTCTTCACTTTCTATAGAGCATCCTGGCGTTTGGTTCCAGGCCTCGAACATCGCATTCGATCTCAGTCTCCAGTCCTGTGCCATTTTTTTGGGGGATTGACTGATTGATTGAGTTCCTGAATGTTTACAGGAGGTCTCTGCTCTGAGGACGATGCAAAGCTTGTGAAAAAACATGACAAATGTAGCCAGAACCCACCTGCTCCGTTCCAAAGCCGCCACCACACCCTCATATCTCCTACACACACGTGCCATGTGTCATTGTGAGGCTGCCCCAGGCATATTTCGAGGCCTTGGTTGTGTACGTGTGCGAGTTTAGCATATGCAGAGTGCGAGCGCGTTTGTGTGGTGTTCGTGTTAGTATATGCAGGATGAGTGCGTGAGTGCATGCGTATGTGCTTGCATACCACAAGATATGCAAAAACAATGCAATAACTTTGACTGTACAACAGTTTCCTTCAGAACTACAGCTGTACAAAACTCTAAGATACAGAGAGAAGTATATTCACTGTTGTGTATTAAGTTACAGAACTTTAAATTGAAGAAACCTGTCATACTTGAAATCGGGTGCATTTGAGTATTGAGTATTTTGAAATAATCTTGTGCGGGTCAGTTTGGTTCGATGTTTTTCTTCTGTTGGTTTCAGTTATCTCTGCATGAGGATTCTTTTGGTGTGCCAAGCGATTTGAGTAATTATTTTTTTGTTGTTTTCATTTTTAAACATTGAGGAAACACTGATGACGAGGAGCGAAGGTGTAAATACAGACGGAGGAGAGAAGCGTCTCGTTGGTGTGAAAATGATTTTGCATATCTTGTGCTCAGCTGAAAGGTGCATGATACGCAAGAGCAGCTCTCTCTCTTTCACTCTCGCTTTTTCCCCCTTTATCTTTTCATTCGCTCACCCTCCTTGTCCTTTCTTCAGCAGACATCACAGTGAAGGCGTTTTATTACGGCACCCGTGCGCCGGTGAACAGTTGGTCATGCACATTAATTCTCGCTATTATTTGAGGCTGCAAGCGGAAACATTAGAAATCCCCTTTCATTTCTCAAGTCTCATGGACAATCTGCGTTCGGCGAGGAGATTTAGGTTGGAAATAATGGATTTGGATGCTAAGCTTGAATTTTTTGTTCTCGTTTGCATGGAGTCTAAAGAATTGAGCTAACAGACGGAGTCCTCCTCTCCCTTCATTAGCCAATGATTGTATATTTTTATAGACTTATAGAAAAGAATTAACACATGAGAAGAGACAATATAAACTCATCTATATCTGCTGAATGTCAGGGTTAAAATGGCTACGCACAACCGTGTTTGAGAATGTATGTAGTGACTACGTATAGATAGAAATTAAATGATAGAGAAATATAGAGTAAATCGTTCATATTCACCGCAGTAGCTCCTTTCGAAACTCCGCTCGTACGGCCTGTTTTTAAGCAGGATGGTTGGGTGTTTTTGCTGAGGGAGGAGTGTAATGAGATTAATCGTGTGATTTTGAATCCGAGGGCTTTTTCACAGCTGCTTTATTCAGACCAACACATCACGTTCCCCTCTGAGCACCTGCACATGATAGAACAGTGTGGAAAAGCCACAAGCTTTCATGACACAAAAGCAGCGCCTGTGTTGAATGAAACCGCTAATGAATGAACACAGAGCTGTCTGCTCGGGCCTTGGGGAAATGTACCAAATATTTGACTGAATATTTTATTAGTTGCTCAGTGAGGTTTTTGCCCAAATGGTTGTAATGTAGCTTTTCTTCTCTCAGAGAATCAGAAGTTATTTTCTATATTTTAATATATGAGAACTATTTATCAGATGGACGTTGAGATATTTCGCACTGGTTGGAGGGAATGTCGGTGATGTAACGGATGACATTTCAGCAGGGCAAGTGTAGGTTGCTCTCCTGATGGACTTTGATTGATTGTGGCTTGTATTTCGGTTTGCCATCTGTAGCAGTAGCGTGCACAAGTTTCCCCAATAAAAAAAGAATATATTTGATGCATTTAAATGCATATAATGCTGAATATTTTTGGAAATATAAACCCCTTAGAAAAGAGTAAACTATCTATAGCAAATGAGCAGCATTGTTACAACCATTAAAGTTCACAACACATTAAACCGCACTGTTTTTTTGTTTTTTTTTATCTTTAGTGTTTGTTTTATTTGGATAAACCCAGTAATGCACGAACACAAAACGTTAGTGGATTTATTAAGGACGTCTGTAGTTCAAGCATCAGCATTCGGGCCGTCCGGTGTTTCTGGGTTCGTGCGTGTTCGTATGCCAATTCTGCATGTGTCAGACTGAAGGAACGTGCCGTGGGGTTGACCTTTGACCCAGAGAAAGCCTGGACAGGTGCAATGTCTGCCCTCTGGTTTAACCTTTGTGTAGCACGTATCTCTAATGTCCTCCTTTATATGACTGTTAATTTGATATTATAAGTTAATGGTAGTGCGTTAATGAGTTTTAATGATAAACTAAAAGCTAAGGTGGTGATGCAATAATCACAATTTGCACATTTAAACCACGTTTAGTTGGACACGTCGTACACATAATCCAAGTAAAGGATGAATTTATGCATAGATTTTAGCTGTCGTGTAAATATTAATTTCGCCCTAAGCTCAAAACGTCAATCTTGCCATAGTTTGATTTCCACAGGTGGGACGATAATTAATGCAGATTTGTTCAGGCCGTCTCCTGCAGTAGGTGAGACAGCTCTTCAGTGTTTTTAGTGCACTGATTGCATTCAAAACCCCAACTGTGGGGAAGGGAAATGCAAAACCATTTATATGAACCAATTTGAGGTTTTCGAGAGGCATTTCCCCGCCTCTAGTTCCACCCAGCGAATGTAGCACTAGAGACAGAAGAAGATGGGCGGAACGGTAACGATTATGATGAGGAGCTCAGAGAGTTACTATATTGCACAAATCTCCATGTATGAGTGAACGTTTTAACAACTTATTCTTTACCACATCCTGCTTTCTTTCTGCAGAGATGGAAGTAATGCTCTGTTTGATGGCGTTGAGCTCTGGGCTTGATTTGTTGGGTCTCTTTTTCTCTAATGGGTGGCAGGACTGAGGGAGTCGATTCCCTGACGCTCACTCGTCTACAGATGATGCAGTCCGCAATTCTTTCTGTTATAGAGGCTGTAACCCGAATCTGCATTACACTATTTTCCTGCGGTCGGAGGCGATTCGGTTTACGTTTAACCACTTACTGTAAGACTCACGAAGGGAGGAATCTTTGAGCGGATCGTCTCAGTTGCTTTATTTTCGGTGACCACACGAGCAGCTTCTATAGTTTTGATTGACGGTGCGGACGGGAAGTGTAGTCTCGAGGTCCTGAGCTGTTTGTTAGATTAACGAGCTGAATTCAAATTAGATGCGTGTCATGCTTTTGGTAGAATTCGAAGGCATCAGTGCTGACCATTCAGGTCTCTCACGAAACACCGTCAGAGGTCATTCACATTTTGGACTATTTAATGGAGTTTAGACCCCAGGTGTTATTGAAAACTCTGTGAGACGTCTGCATGGTCTGTCATTCCCTCCTCTACTTTTGCTGAGACTCTTTTGTCATCATTTCATCACTTTCATTTGTTCATTTAGATTTGAAAAAGAATACGCTACGTAAATCTGAAGATTCAATCACTTTTTCTACTCCTATTTTCAAAAAAAAAAAGTCAAACGAAAAAAACAAAAAAAAAATGGATTTGTAAATAAGTGATTGTACAGTTTGTATCTGTATCTGTCAGTCTGTCTTTGGTGACAGAGTGTGTCTTGCTTATAACGCACGCTACCAGTAAATAAAAACTAAAAAATATCTTTAGATTGTATGGTTCTTGACAGGAAGTTTTAAATTAATCTCTGCTGTATATTCCTGTAATATTGCATTTTTATCTGAGGAATGATGTTATTAAACAATTGCAAATAAAGTGAATTTCCTAAGGTTTGGTTCTTCTGCATCTTATGCGCGATTACAACCGATTAGGTCCTCAGGTAAGATCTCACCTGTCCAATGTTATTCCAATCAGCAGAGGCTAAATTCAGATGTTCTTTTATTATGGTCACAGCATGATATTTTAAGTGACAAATTATATTAAATCAATATAGAAATCTAATACATTTTTTAACATTCGTATTGCATTAAATCCAGAGTCCAGCCACTGGATCAGCACAATCTGCAGCTGTAAAATAATTTATAAAAATGCAGCCTGTGTAAAGCATCATCATATATATGTGTCTGCATACTTCCTGGGTTTCTGTTTAGTGTGTGTCTTTGTGGTTGATCTTCTGTGACTCTCCGTGATGAAGAATGAAGAACAGATCTGGATTCAATCCATGATTCACCATAGCCTCACGCAAACGTGCTGGAGGGTCAAGATAATGCTGAGAGAGAGAGAGAAAAGAACAGAACAGCATGTAGTTTGAAATCGGTAAAATTATGTATATATATATATATTTTTTTTTTTTTTTTTGAAAGAAGTCTCTTATGGTCACCAAAACTGCATTTATGTGAGCGAAAATACAGTAAAACAGTAATACTGTGAAATATGTGACCCTGGACCACAAAACCAGTCATAAGGGTCAATTTTTCGAAATTGAGATTTCTACATCATCTGAAAGCTGAATAAATACGCTTTCCATTGATGTATGGTTTGTTATGATAGGACAATATTTGGCCGAGATACAACTATTTGAAAATCTGGAATCT